GGGGGAAGGTTTGGGGACTGGCCATGGGCAGAGCCAGGCATCCGGCTCTGCAGACAGGCTGTGCAAAGGAGAGCCGTGCCCGCAGTGGGGGTGGCTCTAACCCAGATCCATGTGTGAACGCTGCCACTTAAATGGCCAATGCAGCTGCAAAACCCAGCTGTTTCCAGCTGTTCTCTCCGCCGCCCTCCTCCCCTTCCCCACACCCAGCTCCACGGACCAGCAGGCCCCCAGCTTGTTCCCTAGGGACGGCAGCGTGTAGCTGTTTACACGATTAACCAATGAACCTGGGCTTGTCCATTCATCTTAAGGACTAACCACCGCCCCCCCCCACCCCGCTGCCTCAGATACAGAGGCAGCGAGGGGGAGAACCCGTGCCCACGGAGCGCTGGCTTTTAAGCTGGCTTCCCCCTCATGTCTCCTCCCCGCTGCCTCTGATAGAGGCACAGAAGCACAGGGGGTGAGGGGAGCAGGCAGGGTGAGGGAGCAGGGTGAGGGGAGCAAGTTGGCTCCCTGCACGTACCGGCTCCTGCAGAGCTGTCTGCTCCCCACGCTGCTGCCTCTGAATCAGTGGCAGCAGCGGGGGAGGAAGGGACAGACACGAGGGCAGGCGGGGAGCTGGTGCTCACGGGGAGCCGGCTTAAAAGCCAGCTCCAGCCGAGCACCATCTCCCGCCCCTCTCCCCCACGTATAAACATGTCACCGCTGAAAAATCAGCAGCTACCGAGTTACCAAAAAAACCCCGTTCGCTCCCATTCACCTGATCACACTTTTTGTGGTACGCATCCTTCTCCTTCTGGGAAAGCAGCTTCCACTGCTGGCTGCACAGCACCATCCGCTCCGTGCTGGGGACGTCCTTCATGTTGGCCATCAGCTCCGCACAGTACAGAGAGTAGCTGTTCCTGTGGAGCAACCACGGCGGTGGGGTCACCACTCCTTCCCCACCCCCTTTCCGACCAGGGTCCTGCCCACTCGTGGCCAGGGAAAGCTCCCATGTGCCCCTCTGGGGAACAGCGTCGGGGATTACAGCCCGCTCCCTCCGCTTCACCTCCCAGGAGGGATGTTAAATATCGGTCAATTGACTAGTCAATTCAGCGCATGAATTCTTAGCAGTAACTCAACTGTTCTATAGTCCCTGGGGGTGGGGCTGGCAGCCATGTGCTCCAGTCTCACTCCTCAGGAGACCCCTGCCTGTATCAGAAGCAGCAGTGTGGGGTGCCAAGCAGGAGCTGGTCTGCGAGGGGAGCCAATTTAAAAACCAGCTCCTGTCATGGACTGGCTGCCTGTCGCCCCTGCCTGTCCAGTGCTGGAGGGGGAAGCTGAGCTGAGCTCCTGGAGCCATGAGCCGGAACTGAGCCGGGCTGCCTGCCACCTAGCTCCTAATGCACTTTACATGCAGAGCCGCAGCAGGGGTAGGTCCCGGACCTGGCGCAAGCCAGGACTGAGCCGAGCTGCTGGCAAGACTGCTAAAAAATGTACTGGCAGGGGAAGAGGGGGAATGCGTGTAGTCTATAGTGTTACCCTATAAAGCTTTTGCTTAACAGTTAATCGACTACACTATTACAGCCCTACCTCGCATCCCCTGCCATGTTCAACCCCAGAGGTGGCTGCATTTCAGCTGTGCAGCAAAAGAGAAGGGGAAAACTTTCTGGATAAAATCCCAATTATATTGTTCTCCAAAATCTGGATCAGCCAGTGTGTCAACGCCCGTGGAACGTGGCTGGATGACGAGGAGCCGGTAGCACTTCCTGCCAGAAGACGACCTCGGCACTACTGGAGTTAAGTCACACGGTTCCTCAGAACCCGAGGGGACGTCCACATGACGGATGCTACGCTGCGGCCAAGCCACCGTACTGCAGCAGCATAAACGCACCCGCTGCAGTTAACCCACCTCCCCAAGCAGCGGCAGCCAGGTCCATGGAAGAATTCTTTCGGCTGCCAAGCCAGATCGACACCGGCCATCAGGTCAACCTAACCGTAGCGCCCCTAGGGTGTGATCTTTTTCCCCACACCCCTGAGGGATAGCGAGGCCAATCTAAATGTTAAACGCCAAGCCAGGCTGAAGCTCTCGAGACTAATCCGCGTGATTGCGAAGCAAAGCTCGAAACCGAGACCCGACTGCCACGTCAGCCTGAGACTGCGGAGCGCCTGGCACAGCAGCTCGGCGGGGCGTCGACTCCAAGACTCGCTGCCTTGGGGCACCCCTGCCAGCAAAGGGCTCTGGGGGTAGCAGGCAGAGAGCACAGGAGGCCTGACCATCTTCCCAAGCAGATAGACCCAGCTGCTGGAAAGGACCAGTGGGGACAAGCCAGGGAGGGCAGAGCTGTGGGTACCATGCCAGGAGTGCCCTAGACTGCCTTCCTCCAGCCCTGGTTTCCCTGGACCCACAAGGAGGAAGGACTGGAAAGCGTGAGCGCTCCCCCAACCCCAAGAAAAAGCAACATCAGCCCCCCACCGGCCAGGCACTTACGGAGGCGGAGTTGCCGTTCTGCCTTGGTGAGGGTGGAGCGCGTGATGCCCTCCTCGCTCAGGTTCATCTCCGGGTGCTTCTGGATGTAATCCCGCATGATCTCCTGCAGAGGGGGGCAAAGCAGCCGGCGGGTTAAGGGGGCCAAGCCGACACCTCTAGCACGGGGAGGGGAGAGAAGCCAGTCACCTCCCTACGCCTCGCCCACCTGCCCCCTCTTGTCGAGAGGCGAAGGATCCCAAGCTCTGCAGTGGAAGGCTCTGAGCTACCGGGGCTGCGGGCTAGTCCCACAATGCGTGCAAAGCAAGGGGCCTCAAACAGCAACCCCTCAGGCTGGTTACAGAGAGGGGCCGGCTCGGGGGCGCCCGCCGGGCCGGGGAGATGATGGAGGGGAACTGGTGACTGTTCCCTACCTCGTACTCCTTTCGCTGTTCCAGGGCCTTATGAATCCATTTCAGTCTCTTTTTGTCGGAGAGTTGAGACCACTGCTTGCCCAGCGCGTCCTTCACCTCCTTCGTGGTGGCCTGAAAACCCAAAGCCAGAGGTGAGGGCACAGGGGGGGAAGGGCGGGCCCCGCCCGGATGATGGAGGGGAACTGGTGACTGTTCCCTACCTCGTACTCCTTTCGCTGTTCCAGGGCCTTATGAATCCATTTCAGTCTCTTTTTGTCGGAGAGTTGAGACCACTGCTTGCCCAGCGCGTCCTTCACCTCCTTCGTGGTGGCCTGAAAACCCAAAGCCAGAGGTGAGGGCACAGGGGGGGAAGGGCGGGCCCCGCCCGCC